ATATATGTATCTGTGAAACATGTATGTAGAGAGAGAGTCTGCGACAATTCCAATTCTGATTCCTTCGGCCCTTGGAGCTTAATACTTGTGCCATGATCAGTTTTGTTCATATAACAGAGTATGCTATACAGATATGATCATTACAATGTACCATGATCTAAATATGTTTGGGAAGCACAGGTCCAGTGAGAAACTAGATACATCGCAGTTAGAACTCAGGAGATGATGTCTAGGCTAGAGATTTTGGGGTGCTAGTAAAACCCCACAGAGGGACTTCTACTCCAGGCCATGTTGGAGTAACTGGTACTATACTTGCTCTCCTGTTGTAACAATTAGAAAATTGGACAAAATAAAAGAAAGAGCTGTTTGACAATGACTCTGAAAAAAAGGGAAACAAATAAAATAAGTCCTACCATTGTCACCACTTGCTACCTGAAAGCACATTCTGAATGGTAGCATAGGGAGCTTGGAAGTCTTGCTGAGCATGGAAGTCTTGCTCAGGTGGAAGAGACAAACACTGGAGTTTAGAGAGGCTGAGGCAGCTAGAATTTGCAGGGCAGTGTACCAGAAAAGAGAGAGTTGTATAGAGGAAGAACTAAAAAAAAAAAAAAAATTTTCTATGAGTCTCCTTGAGTCTGTCCATTGAATACTAAGCCATGAGTGGCCAAGATAAAAATGTATGAGCTAGGGCACCTGGGTGGCTCAGTCAGTTGAGCATCTGACTCTTCATTTTGGCTCAGGTCATGATCTCAGAGTCATGGGATTGAGCCCCACATTGGGCTCTGCACTCAGTACAGAGTCTGCTTGAGTTTCTTTCCCTCTCCCTCTGCCTCCCCCTCTGCTCGTCCCCCGGCCTGTGCTCTCTCTCTCTCTCTCTCTAAAATAAATTAAAAATAAATAAATAATCTTTAAAAGAAAGTCTATGAGGTTAGCCAATGAAATATCAGGGAATTTTAAGCTGAACAATTCCAAGAAGCGATGCAGAGCTGGGAGATGTTTAAGTTCCAACCAGTAAGAATGAGGAGAAAAAAGAAAGCAGACTTTAGTAGTAGGATTAACCTTGCCAGTAAAAGTTACCTTATATTTGTCCTAACAAGCTTAAAAAGAAGCCTCAAATGGACGAAGTTGATCTACAAATAACTACCTAAAAAACAAATTTCAATACTCTTTAACAGAAGTCAACAAAATCAAGACATGCAATACCCATGATTTTCAGGATCTAATCAAAATTGCTAGACATACTCTTAAGAGGGAAGTATATACCAATACATTAGGCCTACTTCAAGAAGCAAGAAAAATCTCAAATATACAACCTAACGTTACACCTAAAGGAGCCAGAAAAAGAGGAATAAATGAAGCCTAAAACCAGCAGAAGAAGAGAAATAACAAAGATTAGAGCAGAAGAAATGATATAGAAGCAAAAGAAACCAATAGAACAGAACAATGAAACCAGAAGCTGTTTCTTTGAAAAAATAAATAAAATTGATGAACTCCTAGCCAGGCTTATTAAAAAGAAAAGAGAAATCACCCAAATAAATAAAATCAAAAATGAGAAAGAAGAAATAACAACCAATACCACAGAAAGACAATTATAAGAGAACATTATGAAAAAAATATATGCCAACAAAGTGGACAACCTTGAAGAAGTGGATAAATTTCCAGAAACATATAAATTACCAGAACTGAAACAGGAAGAAATAGAAAACTTGAACAGACTGAAAACCACTAAAAAATTGAGTCAGTAATCAAAAATCTCCCAACAAACAGAAGTCCAGGGCCAGATGGCTTCACAAGGGAATTCCACCAAACATTTAGAGAAGAGTTAATACTTATTCTTCTCAAACTATTCCAAAAACTAGAAGAGGAAGGAAAACTTCCAAATTCATTCTTGAGGCCAGCATCTTCCTGATACCAAAAGCAGATAAAGACTCCACTGAAAGAGAGAACTATAGGCAAATATCCTTGATGAACATGGATGTAAAAATTCTCAACAAGATACTAGCAAATTGAATCCTTAACAGTACACTAAAAGAACCATTTGGCATGATCAAGTGGGATTTATTCCTGGGCTGCAAGTGCTTCAATATTCACAAATCAATCAACATGATAGACCACATTAATAAAAGAAAGGATAAGACCATATGATCCTTTCAATAGATGCAGAAAATGCATTTGACAAAGTACAACATCCATTCATAACAATCCTCAAAAAGGTAGGATTAAAGGGAATACCTAAGCAAAATAAAGGCCATATATGAAAAACCCACAGCTAATATCCTCAATGGGGAAAAACTGATAGCTTTTCTTCTACAGTGAGGAACAACACAGGAATGCCCACTCTCACCACTAATAACATAGTACTGGAAGTCTTAGCCACAGCAATCAGACAACAAGAGAAAAATAAAAGGCATCCAAATTGGCAAGGAAGAAGTCAAATGTTCACTATCTGCCAATGACATGAGACTGTATTTAGAAACCCTGAAAGACTACACCAAAAACTTGCTAGAAATGATAAATGAATTCAGTAAAGTCGCAGGATACAAAAACAATGTACAGAAATCTGTTTTATTTCTATGCACCAATAATGAAGCAGCAGGAAGAGAAATCAAGGAATTGATCCCATTTGCAACTGCACCAAAAAGCATAACATACCTAGGAATAAACCTAACTGAAGAGGTAAATGATGTGTACTCTGAAAACTAGAAAACACTGATGAAAGAAATTGAAGATGACACAAAGAAATGGAAAAAGATCCCATGCTCATGGATTTGAAGAATAAATATTATGAAAATGTCTATAGTACCCAAAGCAGCCCCTATCAAATTACCAACGTCATTTTTCACACAGCTAGAACAAAGAATCTTAAAATTTGTATGGGATCAAAAAGACCCTGAATAGCCAAAGCAATCCCAAAAAAGCAAAGCAAAGCTGAAGTCATCACAATTTTGGACTTCAAGTTATATAACAAAGCTGTAGGGATCAAGACAGTATGGTACTGGCACAAAAATGGACACACAGATCAATGGAACAGAATAGAAAACTTAGAAATGTACCCACAACTGTATGGTTAGTTAATCTTCAATAAAGCAGGAAAGAAAATCAATGGAAAAAAGACGGTGTCTTCAACAAATGGTATTGCGAAAACTGGTAATCTACATGAAAAAGAATGAAACTGGAATGCTTTCTTACACCATTCACAAAAATAAAAATGGAGTAAAGGCCTAAATGTGAGACAGGAAACCATCAAAATCCTAGAGAAGAACACAGGCAGTAACCTCTTTTATATCAGCCGTGGCAACTTCTTACTAGATATGTTTCCCTGAGGTAAGGGAAATAAAAGCAAAAATAAACTATTGGGACTTCACCAAAATAAAAAGCTTCTGCACAGCAAAGTAAATGATCAATAAAACTAACAGGCAGCCTATGGAATGGGAGAAGGTATTTGCAAATGACATATCTGATAAAGGGTTAGTATCCAAAATCTATAAAGATCTTATAAAACTGAACACTCAAAAAACAAATAATTGTTTAAAAAAAAGGGCAGAAGACATGAGTAGAAATTTTTCCAAAAAAGACAAATAGATGGCCAACAGACACATGAAAAGATGCTCAACATCACTCATCATCAGGGAAATACAAATCAAAACTACAATGAGATATCACTTCACACTAGCCGGAATGGCTAAAATTAACAACACAAGAAACAACAGGTATTGACAAGGATGTAGATAAAGGGGAACCCTCTTGCAGTGTTGGTGGGAATGCAAAGAGGTACAACCACTCTGGAAAACCATGCGGAGGTTCCTCAAAAAGTTTAAAATAGAACTACCCTATGATCTAGCAATTGTGCTACTGGGTATTTACCCAAAAAATACTAATTCAAAGTATAAGCACCCCAATGTTTATAGCAGTACTATGAATATAAGTCAAAATATGGAAGGAGCCCAAATGTCCATTGACTGTTGAATAGATAAAGAAGATGTGGTCTATATACATAATGGAATATTACTCAGCCATCAAAAAGGAATGAAATCTTGCCATCTGTAACTGCATGCATGGAGCTAGGGAGCATTATGCTAAGCCAAATAAGTCAGTCAGAGAAAGACAAATACCATATGATTTCACTCATTTGTGTAATTTAAGAAACCAAACAAGTGAGCATAGGGGGAAAAAAAGAGAGAGGCAAACCAAGAATAGACTCAACTGTAGTGAACAAAGTGATGGTTATCAGAGGGGAGGTGGGTAGGGGGATAGGTTAAACAGGTGACGGGGATTAAGGATTATATTTGTGATGAGCAATTGGTGTTATACGGAAGTGCTGAATCACTATATTATACATGTGGAACTACTATTACACTGTACGTTAACTAACTGGAATTTGAATAAAAACTTTAAAAATCACTAGACATGTAAAAAGGGAAAAAAATGTCATGCATTACCAAGTTAATATTTATTCATTAGGAATATATGTAGAGGAAGAAGCAAAGGGTGGCAAAGATGGAATGCTGGAAAATACCCAGCCAAGATTTAGAAGATGAGAAGAAGAAAAAGGATCTGACAAGAGTCACTTGAAAGGTTTAATACAAGATTTTAGAAAAGTCACAAGATGTTGAGTCACAAGAAGTCACATTAGGGAGAAAGTTTCAAAAAGGAGGGAACAGTCAACAAGGAGATCCAGCAAGACAGAGTCTGAAAATCGTCCACTGGATTTCACAGAAGATACCTTCTAAGCCTGGCAAAAGTAGTTCTAGTGGAGAGGTTGGGGTAGAAGCCAGATTGCAAAGGTTCTGAGATGTCAATATGATGTGGAGAAGGAGAGATGCTAGTTGTTTCAAGGCAAGATTGTCTCTGAGCCTGGGTAGGCAAATATGCATACATTTTTCCTTTGAAAATATTTCTTAAACATTCTACAACCTTTTTTAGCAATGTCTCCTTTCTCTTATAGACATTTATTTTTAATACACAATTTCCAATAAGAATTATGAAATTAAAATTGTTACCAAAAAAGGCATTCAGCAGCTTCTGAACCTGAATGTTGCTGCCCACAGTACGGTATAATCCCTCTGTCTTGATCCCTAGGGAAAGAAATTGAGGTCAGTTTTGTTTCCATAGCTAGAGCTTTCACTTTCCTCAGGGTTGAGAAAGTAGGTACTTATACCCTGGTGTCAGTTCAAATAGGAAAGTGTCTCCCTACCCTCTGCAAGCTCCCCAGCCTTCCCCTGCAATAGGGGAACTGTTTTGAAGCCTCTCTCCAAATTATTCTCTCCATACTTTCATTTGGATTATACCAAGATTTCATTAATGTGAACAGAAGAGAATATACTCTATAGTAAATAGAAAAATATGCTTAGGTGGGTAGCAGCAGGTGGCTGAGAATAGGGTTTAATTGAAAAAGGGAGCTAGGGTTTAATTGAAAAAGGAGGAAATATCAACCTCCGAGTTGCTTGTGAACAGTGATATAAAGGAAGAAAGGGATGGAATATGGCATATGTGAAACAAAAAGGCCATTTTGCATATAGAGAAATTCTAGCAACATTTCAAAGAATAAAGAGGCTTGGCTCATATACTACTTGCCCACATTCTAAATATTCTCAGAGAGAAACTAGAAGTATCATTAACCTGGGAAAACACTGATTCCATATTTGTCTGAGTTCAGCTTTGCACCCCATCAATTTTTAAACCGATATGTATTGTGGCAGAAATGGAACTCTTATTTATTTGCAATGGAACTGTCATAACACTATTTGAGGAGTGCCCAGTAGTATTTTAGAATACTTTATAAGCTGTTTGAAGCTCTTTCTCTTTATTTTTTTTTTAAATACAAGAGGCTGTACATATTTAATATATACAACTTGGTGAGTTTGGAGATAAATGAAACCATCACCACAGTCTATGCAGAAACACATCCATCACCTCTAAAACTTTTCTGTGGCCCTCTTTATTCATTATTATTTTTTTTTGTGATAAGAACTATTAACACAAGATCTACCATCTTAGAACATTTTTAAGTCTGCAATACAGTATTGTTAACTACAGCTTTATGCTGTACAGCAGATCTCTAGGACATAATTATCTTGCATAACTTAGAATTTTATACCATTTGATTAATTAAGCTCTTTCTCTTTAAAAGCAGGGAACCGCAAATTATCCCAATATGCTTGGATACCACTGGCTTGGAATTTGCTGGAATTTTAGAAATTTGTGTCTCATGTTCAAGGTTCATAAATAGTCTTCATTGCTAAAACGAGTCCTGACCAACAAATGACATCATTGCTACTTTAGAGAAATTGCCCCAGAATAAATTCAGAGTGACCAAATTCAAACACCGCCAACACTCTGGTTCATGTCTTACCTTTGGTCTCAATGACATTGATGCACTTCCTAACAAACTTGAACCCCACTTCATTCAGCTCCACTGTTTCAAACAAAGGAAAACAGAGTTAGATCCTGCTATAACAAGCTTTACCTACCAAACATTTATTGATCATGCTAAGAGACTGCAGTGAGAGAATAAGGGGTATGGTTTTTCATCTCCAATACCCTTAAATAGAAAGATCTTTTTTTTTTTTTAGAGGAAAAATAGAGTTTTTACTCTTACAACACAAAATGCTTTTAGTGATTCCATTGTATTATGTTTGTTTTAGACATGAGCAACATCAAACATGAAATGTTAGGGTGGAAATGCACATAATTTCTATCATGTGTTTAGAACAAGAAAGATATAATGTTCTTCTCTATATTACTATTACTATCCACACCATAAGCTAAGATAAAGTGACTTCCTTATTTCAATAAGTAGACATATTAAAAAAATAGGTCTGAATTTTATTCCACAGAGGAATCAATAAACACACTTGCATCAATATTACATATTATTGATGATAGTATTAACTGTGATTAGGACAGCTAGCAGTTTGTAATGTCAATAGATCATAAATTTGACTCACTTTCTTCCTGTTTTGTTATGGGGCTGTGGTAGATCTACAAAAAAAAGAGAAAGAAAAAGCCATGGCTATTGGGAATCACTATAGGTAAGTATGGCGAATAATACTAAATCTCTTTCCCCAGATAGTCCATCAAAACCATTAGCGACTCTAAAGCTTTAATAAGATGAAAAGTGGGCTAAACAGAATGATCTTTGCCTAGGTCCCTAGAAAACACTTGGATTAACAATCTCTGAAGACTACAGCAGATTCCAAGTAGCTCACTGCAGCCTACCCATCTTAGAGATTTACTTATGTAAAGCTTGGAGAATTTTTCTGATGGAGCAAGAGAGCATGAGAGAAAAGAAATAGTTTTCTAATGGATATATGGCTAATGGGCATTGATGGTAAAATGTAAATGTTCCCAATACCAACCTCCTACCCCAAAGGCTAACTAATGGGTGTTTCTCTGTAGAAAAGCAAGTGTCCAACTGAAAGAGATCCATGCATTGATCAAGATTTGTCTGAGTCATATTGAAGTACACACTATGATAGCTGTGTGAGAAACCAAAGAGGAGATCCTTGACGAAGTCTAGTCCAGGCTCCACCTCTACCTCATTATGAAATCTCAGGCATGTCCTTTTCATTCTCTACACTTCAAAATTCAGATCTCTAAAATGATCAGGATTGGAGTAGATGTCCCTTGAAGTCCTGATCTTCTTTGACACTTTAAACAAAGGCATGTATACTATGTATAAGATTAGTGAATTGGGGTGTTTAGTGAAGCAGCAACAATAATAATGTGAAACTGCAGGAAATAAGCCTTCTATATGGCACCTGTTAGTCTGCTTTAACAATCTCTCCTTTTAAAAGAAAATTATCTGCATCTGTGTGTATGCCCAGGGATATTTCAATGAGGGAGATTTCTATGCTGACCAGCCCTTGCTGCCAATTTTATAAACAAGGTATTTTTGGGGGCGTCTGGGTGGCTCAGTCGTTAAGCGTCTGCCTTTGGCTCAGGTCATGATCCCAGGATCCTGGGATCAAGCCCCGCATCGGGCTCCCTGCTCAGTGGGAAGCCTGCTTCTCCCTCTCCCTCTGCAGCTCCCTCTGCTTGTTCTCTCTCTCTCTGTGTCAAATAAATAAATAAAACCTTTAAAAAATTAATAAAAATAAAAGGAAACTGAGGCTTATTCAGTTATGACAATTATTTTCCATCTTTCTATATGAACACATATGCTGTATAAACTGAAAAAAGGCTTAATTTTCTTTCTTAAGAGGATCTTGTGGGCACAGCTGCATCATCTAACACTGCAGCAAGAAGCTGAGAAACCTGGATTCTAGGCCCAGCTGTTATGCCTTTTCTGAGAGTAAGCCCAGAGAAGTCCCTCACCCTCTGGAACTCAAATTGCCTTGCTTTTTAAGCAAGAAATATCAAGTCAACAATTCCTTCTAGCTCTAAAATTTTGAGTCTGACAATCTATTTAATTGTCCTAGACCCACTGGTACCACTCAGGGCACTCACACTGGATTATGGTGCTGAGGTTTCTCTAGTTTCCTGAGGTAACTTACGGGTTCTTTTCCATCCATAGCCTCCATCCATAGCCTTCTGTTAGCTTCTGAAAGGGCCTGCAAAGTGATGGTTCCTGGCCTAAGGGGAAAAAGAGGACAAGTTAAAAGTAGAAAACTCACCTGAGAAAATGAAGTCTTGTGATCTAGGGTCCCTCTCAGCCCTGGGAGGTGTCACACTGAGCAGGCACATAGAGAATTCCAATTTTTCAAAATCTCTTTTACTCAAAAAAACAATGAAACATTTAGAGAGCAGTAACTTTGGGAACCCTAGGGGAGATGGTATCTTGGCAGCCTCATGCCAGGGTCAGGCAAGGAAATAGGAAGGTAGATGCCAAGACACCTCACCATAATACACACTTAAATTGGCTCCATTGTACTTGAGACAAACTGTGGCTTTCTTTGCCTTTCTCTCTTGGAAGCCAGCAGTTTGGTCTTGGCTCTAGGAGTAAGCATGTTCAGCATGGGCACATTCATCCATCCCTGCCCCCCCCCCAAAAAATGGCTTTCCTACCTCCCCCATCTATGATGTCCAAAGAGTATTTCCAGCTGGAGAGAATTCAACAACATGCACGCTGGCTCAGCACAGGGAGGAGGCCTTTTGGCTGACTTAAGCAATCTTATGACTAAATAATAACAGTTACTGAATGCTCATTAGGTACCAGGTTCTGTTCTAAGTACTTTATAGGTATAAATTCATGTAATCTACCCAGGAACCTATAAAGCAGGTACCATATAGGAATCCCTATTTTACAGAAGGGGAACTGAGGCACCGAGTTGTTCCCTAAGTTCACACAGTGGGTAAGTAGAGAGCCAGGATTTAACTTTAGGAATTCTGGTCCAACAGCCATGTTCTTTCTTAACCACCATGCTACAAGGCCTTTTCTCCATCAGAGATGGCCTCAAACCCATTTTTTTTTTCTATTTACTTGTAGGCTACCTATAGCCAGAGATACTCCAAGTTGGTATACTCTGTATGGTCTTTTTAGACTTTCACAACCAAACTGAGAATTTTCAGATTGACCATATTATTGCAGATATAAAGTCTCCTTGCATTATCTGTATATCTGCACCATTATGAGAAACTGGTTCCTCTTAACTCCTTCTGTTAAGACCTCTCTCAGAGTCATGGAATGGTAAGAACAATGACAAGAGAGTTCAGAGAGCCTGGAAAAGTAACTGGGTCTCTATGGGCCTCAGTTTCTTTATCCATAACAGTGTTGGACCAGATGAGCTGGGAGGTCCCTTCCAGTTTTGATACCATGGGATGCCTATTTGACTTTCCATCTTTTACTCCATTAAAGTACATCTTAAAAAGGAAAACCCCCAAATGATCGTTAAGACAAAATCAACTGAAAACCAGGACTTGGCTTTGGGCACTGGATTCTTTCAAGTTTACTCTAACAAATAACCAACTTTTTGGATATATCACATGGGGCTAGAAAGTCTAGAAATCTTTGTAAAGACAGCTAGCCAGCTGAATCCTGAAGCCAGAGGAAGAACAAGGAAATGGGCAACAGATATAAAAGCAGACAGTACAGACCAGATATGACATTAAACACATTCTGGAACTTCCCTATCTAGGAAATGAAAAATCCAGTGCGTGTCCTCTCTTAACCCTACAGAGAGGCCGAAAGAATGAATAAGTGACTATTCAAGAAGCATTTGAAGATTCTTGGGTGCCACAGAAAGTCAAATTCACAGAATAATATTTATAAGAACTGGATGACAAAGTAGAAAGAACATTGACTTCTAGTCCAGGATCTTCCGTTGACTATCTTTATGACCTTAGGCAAATCTCTGCCCTTCCTGAGGCCCCAGTCACTCATCCAGAACAAAAAGACATATATTGCATATGTGCAGTACAGTGCAATGGTTAAGAGTGTGGGTTTGAAGACTAGAATTCCTGGATTTGGATCCTGGCTCTACCATTTGCTATGTTACCTAAGTTGCTTAATTTCTCTCTGTCTCCTTGTCTTCCTTTGTGAAATTGGGATAACACCCCATACCTCAGGGAACTGAGTGAGGATTAAAGGAAATTATACTCTTCAAGGGCTGAGAATAGTGCCTGGTACATAGGCCAATGTTAGCAGTTGTTGTTAGGTTATTATTATTATTATTATTATTATTATTATTATTATTGCACTTCAAGTTCTATGAGCTATAAGCCTGTGGTTTCAAATATTGGCAGCAAATCTAATTATTTACTTTTTTAAAGATTTTATCTATTTTATAAAATAGAGAGAGCACAAGCAGGGGGAGCGGCAGGCAGAGGGAGAAGGAGAAGCAGGCTTCCTGCTGAGCGAGGAGCCCAATGCGGGGCTCGATCCCAGGACCCCAGGATCATGACCCGAGCCAAAGGCAGAGGCTTAACCAATTGAGCCACTGAGGCACCATGGCAGCAAAACTAATTAAAAAAAATAGTTACCCTCGATTCCTGAGAGAGTAAAAGGGACTCAAAGAGTCCTTAGCTCTCTGTGCTGCAGGGACATGAGTATGGGTGACTGATGCTTGCTGGGAATGCTGACTTTGTTTCTTCTATCAGATTTACTAGCCAGGAAAGCAGATGCCACACTCCTCAGAAAACCTCATGTGCACAGAGGTACCTCAGCACCTGTTCATTATTATACTTGACCCTTTATTTCACAGCATGTTTATTCTCCTTATAAGACAATGGAACAAAATTAAAAAAAAAACAACAACATGGACTTTGGAGACCTACAAACGAGTGTTTGTGCTCAGCCTTGCCACTGTATGACTTTGGGCAAGTAACTTAACATATTCAAATCTCAGTCCCCGCACCAGTAAAATGGGGGAGGGGGATTAAGTAAGTGAATGTTTTTTAAGAGCCTAATATGTGGTAACTAAAATTACAGACACACCAAAACTTTAATTCCTGGGTTCTAGTCTCAGAATTCCTCAGTGTTATGGGGTGGGAAAATACATTTAAAAATAAACACCAAATTCAGTACCTATCATGAGCCATGTATAGCACTAGGTGCAAGATATATGATGATAAACGGGTCCCAGCACATAATCTCAGGGCCAAATTGTCTGCAACTGCTTTAAGTCTACGGGGATATTATTTGCAAATAGCTTGCAAATTTAAGCTGAAAAGGGAACCACAATGAAACTAGACACAGAAAATTTTAATTTCTTTTAAGCACTGTGATGCTGCAGAGCGAGAGACAATAAAGGTTCATGAAAGAGAAGCCACAGCCAATAGTCATTTTTTGCAGTAAACAGGAGTATAGTTCCCCCTTCCAACTAGGCCTGAAGCTGTTGGAAAAATGAGGGACAGCTGCATGGTTACCAGTAACAATGTTTACCATCACAACCATCTTTGGTCAGGACCATCCATTTCTAACAAAGTGGATTAACAAACAGAATTTCAAATGGGGAAAAGGACTTTTTACTTATTTCCAGACTAAAAAATAAATAAATAAAAGCCCTCATCTCTTAGTATAATCTTTATGATTCCAGTCATTGATAGTTTAGTTCATATGATATTGTAATTCAACCTTTAAGTCCCTTTCTAGGAATCTGACTGTTTTGTTAAATTCTATTCTACTATGTGGTACCTAACACATAGAAATAATAGACCGAAATAACATATAGGAATATTCATTCACTGAATTTTGGATCAACCTCTCAACTACACAATATGCGTTTCTCCAAAGTAACCCCAAATGCTCTCATTTTAAAATTTCAAGGTTAAATTCACCTCTGATAAAAGTGCCCAGTTCCAGAAAACAAAAAGAGGGTACTGGAGAGAAACAAATACAACAAAGTACAAAGTTTGAAAGCCTTAGCTGAAATCAGAAAGTTGATAATCAAACTATTTCCAGTATACCTGCAAAGTAGGGGAAGTCTGTATCATGTTTCCACCAAGTGGGGAAAAAAAGACTCCCCAATACCACTACCATCTTCCATCCTTTCTATCTCCCCTTAAAAATGTGTTTTAATTCACTTGTTCTTGTATGTTATATTAGGAGATAAAAGAATGAGTTTTGCTGAATGGGAGAAGATACTTGCAAATGACATCACGGATAAAGGGCTAGTATCCAAAATCCATAAAGAACTCATCAAACTCAACACCCAAAAACCAAATAATCCAGTTAAGAAATGGGCAGAAGACCTGAATAGACATTTTTCCATCGAAGACATATATACAGATGGCCAACAGACACATGAAAAGATGCTCAACATCACTATCATCAGGGAAATGTAAATCAAACCCACAATGAAATACCACCTCACACCTGTCAGAATGGCTAAAATTAACAACACAGGAAACAACATGTATTGGCAAGGATGTCGAGAAAGGGGAACCCTCTTACATTGCTGGTGGGAATGCAAATTGATGCAGCCACTCTGGAAAACAGTATGAAGGTTCCTCAAAAAGTTAAAAATAGAGCTACCCTATGATCCAGCAATTATACTCCTAGGTATTTACCCAAAGGATACAAAAATACCAATGTGAAGGAATACATGCACCCTCGTGTTTATAGCAGCATTATCAACAATAGCCAAATTATGGAAAGAGCCCAAGTGTTCATCGACTGATGAATGGATAAAGAAGATCTAGTGTACACACACACACACACACACACAGAGAGGAATATTACCCGGCCATGAAAAAGAATGAGACCTTGCCATCTGCAACAACGTGGATTGAGCTAGAATATATTATGCTAAGTGAAATAATTCAGTCAGAGAAAGACAAATACCATATGATTTCACTCATGTGGAATTTAAGAAGCAAAGCTATTGAACATAGGGGAAAAAAAGAGAGGCAAACCAGGAAACAGACTCTTAACTATAGAGAACAAACTGGGGTTGCTGGTGGGGTGGTGGGGGGTGGGTTAAATGGGTGATGGGCATTAAGGAGGGCACTTGTGATGATGAGCTCTGGGTGTTGTATGTAAGTGATGAATCACTAAATTCGACTCCTGAAACTAATATCATACTATATGTTAACTAACTGGAATTTAAATAAAAACTTGGGGTATTATGTTGAGTGAAATAAGTCAAACAGAGAAAGACATGTATCATATGATCTCACTGATATGAGGAATTCTTAATCGCAGGAAACAAACTGAGTGTTGTTGGAGTGGGGGGTGGGGTGGGAGGGATGGGGGGACTGGGTGATAGACACTGGGGAGTGTATGTGCTCTGGTAAGCGCTGTGAATTGTGCAAGACTGTTGAATCTCAGATCTGTACCTCTGAAACAAATAATGCAATATATGTTAAGAAAAAAAAAAAAAGAAGAAGAAGAAGGTAGCGGGAGGGGAAGAATGAAGCGGGGGAAATCGGAGGGGTAGACGAACCATGAGAGACGATGGACTCTGAAAAACAAACAGGGTTCTAGAGGGGAGGGGGGTGGGAGGATGGGTTAGCCTGGTGGTGGGTATTTAGGAGGGCACATTCTGCATGGAGCACTGGGTGTTGTGCACAAACAATGAATCATGGAACACTTCATCTAAAACTAATGTTGTAATGTAAGGGGATTAACATAAGAATAAAAAAATTAAAAAATAAATAAATAAATAAATAAATAAAAACTTGATACCAAAAAAAAAAAAAGAAAAAAAAAGAATGAGTTTTGTTATGCTGTCTTTGCAGCATCACCAAACGTTGACCGTTGCAGCATATCTGATAGCAAATTAAATCCTAGGAATGACTTATTCTGCCTAGAGCAGGTGAGGCAAAGCTGGCTGAAGTTCCCACAGGGAAAACCAGCTCTGGGCCAGGTCTAACAGGGATTCCTGTGACTAGCAGCCAGAAGAGCCGAAACAATGATGTCAAGAACAGATTTGCTCATTTTCATCACAAGAGAGGACAGAGGAAAATAAAAGATCTACTCAGGCTCAGCACCTGGCACATGAGAACATTACCAGTTCATACCAGCACAGCTTACCTTTCATTAGTTTCTATATCAAAACAGAACCTTTTGTCGATAGACTCTGTCTTCCTCCTCACGCAGTACTTCAGGGTTAAGTCCAAAGGCCCCTGATACAAGAGAAGGATTAATAGCCAATTTGAAAAGAAAATGCACAGAAGCTTCTTCTGCCTCCTGCAGTAGCCTCAGCCACTTGGAAGGCATCTGTCAGGGCAGCAGAAGTAATGTTTAGCCTCACTGAGAATCTTGTCCCTTCAAACAGTATTTGCAGCAGATGGTTTCTTCTTGCTCCAATAATTAATGGTTGAGACCAGGACAAAATGCTCAGGGTAGGTCAGTACTGTTTTCCAAGCACGGTAGATTAAATAGGAAGCTCATTATACATAATATAAGGGGAATGTAGGACAAATGGGTTGACCAAATGGCATTAAGTGTATTGAATAAAATTTTCATAAAACTTCCAGGTTGGGAGTGGCTTTATGCGACCCTCCTTCTATTAAATTGGCAGATGGAGGACGGGAGAGAAACATTTTCATTCCCCACCTCCAGACTCTTCAGGAAGACAGGAATCACAAAAGCAATCTCTCCAAAGATAGGGCAGGAGTAGAGAAAATGAGCAAATTTATATATTACTCAAAGTTCCATTTGATATTTCATATATGCAGAACAGTGTAGCCCACCTTAGTCTTATGGGCACTTAATAAGGCCACTGAAGTCCACTGTGTCCACAGATTAAAATTTCCAAATCCCACATTGTTCAGTTTCCCTCTATTATCTCAACAGAGACAATGTGGTATAGGAAAGAGAAGTAAGATTGATCAATTACCTACTATTTGCCACACATTATGCTAGGTATCTTTATTTATTTTTTTTTAAGATTTTATTTATTTATTTGAGAGAGAGAGAATGAGAGAGAACACATGAGAGGGGGGAGGGTCAGAGGGAGAAGCAGACTCCCTGCCGAGCAGGGAGCCCGATGTGGGACTTGATCCAGGGACTCCAGGATCATGACCTGAGCCAAAGGCAGTCGCCTAACCAACTGAGCCACCCAGGCGCCCTTGCTAGGTATCTTTAAATCAACTTTCTTCATAACAACCCTTAGAAAGAAGTGAAGCTCAGAGAGGTAAAATGGCTTACCCAAAGTCACCCGAGTCGGTACAGTAGATATAGTAATAAACTAGGAAGTTTAAAACCTGGGCTTTGTCTCAGTTATGCCATTTACTAGCTTACAATCCAGGGCAAACCGTTTTCCTCTCTGAATCTTAACTTCACAATCTATTAAATGGGGAAAATGCTAACCACCTAGCTGCCAGAAATTCAGAAACACTTCCCAAGTGCCAGGTCTGGGTCTAAGTACTATGCCATCCAAACTGGTCCATACAGTTGATCCAACTGATCAAACAATACTTCTTTTTACATTTTATTTTTTTATTATGTTCAATTAGCCAATATATAATACATCATTAGTTTTTGATGCAGTGTTCAACAATTCATTAGTTGCACACAATACTTCTTTCTTATTGGCACACTCAACCCCCCTTCAGGCCTATCCTTTTGCTGTTCCTACAGTATAAAAACTCAACTCTAATTTCATCCTTCAATCTGCCTTCTTTACCCCAATACTGAGGGTATCAAGAATTACTAGGCTTTCAAGAAGACAGTAACTAACAGCATTATATACTCACCCCCCCTCTTTAAACTCTCAACTCCCTCAGAGTCAAAGGCATCATAGCTCAGGGGCCTAGGCCCTGTCTATTACTCCAGGTTACCTCTAGCCACCCCCATCTGTTTTATGCTTCATCCATGCAAAAGTGCTCTCATTTCACACATGTCATAACTCTCATGATTCCATAACTGTAAATAATGTTTCCTCCACCTGCAATGACTTTATCTATATTCTTGGTCTGGCTAAACTCTTAATTGTTCTACAAATTGCAGTTCAGCTTTCATTTCCTCCAATATTCTTCCCCAATCCCATACACTGCTCACTATGTGTTTTGTGCATTCTATTAAAACTTCCTGGTTTCATGCCTTATTTCCCCAATTGACTGAGAACTCAAGGGCGTGGGCAGCATCTTATTTATCTTTATATCTCTAGGGTCTAGGAAAGAGTTAGTGCCCAAGAAATTTTTATGAACTACAATATCATTCTTGCCATTTTTCTGATGAGGAAAATGATACTGAGTAACATTACATAATTTACTTGGGGTCAAAAAGCTACTAGGCCACAGAGCTAGGATTTAAACCCAGCTGTTGAAAGTCCATAAAAATACAGCACTCTTTCCTCTTACCACAACTGCCTGACAGGGAGATGATGGGGATCTTCTAAAACATAATTTGGGAAGCTAATCTGTAAAATGAGCAGCACAACACAAGTGGAAGTTGATAGGCTGAACTAGTAGGTAACACTGGTAAGTACCATAGTCAGAGAGAGGGCTAATTCCGCCACCTTCAAATTGAACTATTAATACTTGACAGGGCTACTGGGAAAGTAAATGAGGCACATGCCAAAAAGTGTCCAGCTCAGTGCCTGGTACACAGTAGATGTTCAATACATAGTGGATTTTATGGTGTTGTTATAGTCACACTTACTTGTATTAATTTACCTTTCTAAAATGCAAACCAGTAATAGGAACTGAGAGAACTGACAAGAAGAAATTATTTCCAACTTCATTTTAGGGAAATTCAAGTTACTACTTTACCTTCCCTTCCTTCTAAATAGAGAAACAAGTTCCTCTTTCCACTCCATAAGGAATCCCATATTAAAACCGCTTAGGCTGACACTATTGCAACTTTACAAGCAGCCACTCAATGAAAAGGGAAGAAGGAAAGAAAAACTAAAAGGAGAGCTTGTGCTCATCTCGTAGGAGGATATGAAAGTAGTATGTCTGCTTCTGTCTTGAGCTTTGTAGTAGGTGCCTGAGCAGGAGAGAAAGGGCCTAAATCAGCTTACTTTAAAGTCTGGGACTGGGAAAGTAATGTGTGTAGGAGAAGAAAAGGAAGAAACTACAGGACAGTGCTTATAAGCACTAGCCAGTAAAATACATAGCTAAGTTCTGACAGAAATGGAAAAAATTCTGTAATAGAGCACAGGATAAATTTATTGAAACCACATTGAAAGGTACTTTGGCAATTAACAGACTGGAAACTAATAAGAGTTTTGGAGTCAGGAATGAGTAAACCCATAGAGAAGCATGGATGAGGGTTCTGGAGACGCCATTTGGTACACTTCATTAGAGGTGCATTCCATCTCCAATACACGTTAAAAGCCGAGTGACAAAATTTTTGGCTAAAGACAAAAAAGGCAGTTTTCTATAGCCTGACACCAAATTTCAGTCCTCTCTAATTCTCTGTGAACAAGCCACACAAAAGAGATCTTCCATGGAAAGCACCAGCAATGGAGACAAATTGGTCCAATTTTTCTCCAAATTTCTGCCTACCAAATTGGGTCTTCTCGCACCACCAAGGTTCAGTGCTAACAAATGAACCCTGTTGGACTTGTAAACAATTTGTAAATAATAGAAATCCTTAAAATCATGCCTTAAGACCCAGTCTGAGAGACAATTTAAGGTACACACTAAACTACTTTTAGAATATGAACAGTCTATCTATCAGCTTTTATCTTAATAAACCCTTGAGAGAGAGAGAGAATTTCCAAAGCCTCTACAAAGATAGGCGAAAGTGAGATTGACAGAATAACATTTTTTGGCTGTGTGGTCATATATATAGTATAGTACAGTAAGTACAGTATAGTATGTAATATATAAGATTAGGTTCTTCCAGGTAAGTATCTTCTTAGTGTGTTAAACTCATCTTGACATTTTAGGGGATAGGGAAGGTTTGGAGGACAGAAGAAGTATTACCTGCTTAAATATATCCGAACATTACATAGAATATGGGGTATAGGTTATTCCAACTTTAGGAAACAGACATACTTTTCTAAAAAAGGAATTTTGGAAAATGATATTTTAAACACTAGCTATTTAAAGGAATCCTAAGAATCCTAAGAAGTAGGACTTCTTAAAAGCAGGTCACACTATCTTCCTGCAATTCATCCATATTCTTGCAAATTTTCTTGTACAATGGACAAGCACTTGTAATAATTCAATGATCTGAGAAAGTACAAGCACTTTCAGAAGGCTTGACATAATTAATAGATATATTTCACTCAACTGAGTAGTATCTGGCCCAATGCAAACTTAGGTCAAGAGGAACACACAGAGTCATGGCTTCACATGACAGTGATGGACTTGATTCTTTGACACTAAGTCAAAATATACTCTTTTCTGAGATGCAGTCACAGATGCATTTCAAAAAAATATGGCACACAAAAGAACTGACCTGTTTAGCACCTGGCTTCTGCTCCATAGGTGTCATGGTGAGCGTTTTGGTCTCCTTCTCATACTGGCAGTAATATTTCACCCAGGATATTCCCAAAGCCCCTACAATGATAGGCAAAAGTCAGCTGACAGACTATATCCATTGGGCTATATGGTCAATACACTCCTAAGATGGAAGTGCTATAGTCTGCTCTTCATAGTCATAGGGCTTCAGATCTAGCTCTAACCTTCCCCTGAACTCCAACCCTGTGGGCTATCGACCCACAGCACATATAGAGATCCTAATCCTCATCAAATGCTTTCCACATTTGCTCTAGCTTGCTCCAAATAGCTTTTCTTGCCATGTCCCTTCTAAATGCTTCTACTGTTCATCCTATTGTATGAGTTGGAAAGATCTGTAATCTTCTGCTTCTTCTTCCCTGTAACCTGTCCCATTTGATTGGTGGTTGGGTTCTGCTCATTCTTTTCCCCACATGTCTCTCCTTCAGCTGCTTCCTCCTCTCCATCCCTTTTAGAACTGAATTAGTTCAGGGCCCTATTGCTGAATTACTTGTAATGTTTTATGATCTACTTCAAACAAAATAAAAATTCACCATTTCACTAATTAATTATGACAGTGGCCTTCTCTCTGATTTCCCCCATTTCTGATCACTCCTTTCTAGTCCATTCTCCATTCTTTAGTTAAAGGAATTTTTTAAAAATATTTATTTCTCTTTATATAATTTTTCTTATAAATCATGCATGGCTTTCCCACTGTCTCTAAACTCAGGTTGGCCCACAAGACCCTTCATAATATGATCATATTTACCTTTCCTACTTTGTCTTTTGCCACCCTCTATGATCCTGTCTCATTGAATTACTTTCACTTACCAAATAAATAGGTGGCCATATATTTTTAGTCCAAATTCAATACATACTTAAGAGTGAATGGGTCACTATTAATAATTACATCAGGATGACAAGTGTAAACCGGGGCTATTCTTGGCAAACTAAGACCCTACAAATAAACTACATCCTCACACACCTTTGTGCCTGAGTAGCATGCAATGGTGTATAACTGGAGTTTTTCTTTCCCCCTTTTTTTGCCTATCAAACTTCCACTCATAATTCAAGTCCTAATTCAAACATTGCTTCCTCAGTGAAGCCCTTAGATACATGCCCCAAATGCAGTACTCAACACATTTCCTTATAATTCTTGATATAGTTGTCTGCCTTCCTCATCAGACTATGAACTTCTTGGAGGCAAAACCAAGATCGGTTCATTTTTTTAAAATCCCCAATGCACTGCATATTGTCTGGCAAAAAGTATGCTCGATAAACATTCAACTGAATAGCAACGTCATATCCATTTGACAAATTAGAAAACTGGGGCACAGGAGGACCATGTAGCTAGTTGATATTACAGCCAAGATTACAAAATCATTATTCCCACATCTTTTATAATACAGTAGTAGTTCTCAACCAAGGGCAATTTTGCCAAAGAGATATTTGGCAATGTCTGGAGACATTTTAGATTGTCACACCTATAGAGTGCTATTAGAATAAAGTGAGGACAGGCCATAGATGCTGCTAAATACCCTATAATGTACATGATCCCCCAGCCCAAAATGTCAGTTGCACTGAGATTGAGAAATTCTGCAATGCAGAGTTGAAGAGATAAACCTGAAAGGTGGAAGAACATATCTTTGAAAACCACCAAAAGTTAATTTCTCTAAGAGAAGAAAAGATGATAATATCATTGCTTAAATGCCATGCTTTGTGAATTGCGGTAGTTTTTGCCACTGGTAACATCTGAATAGCCTCTTTTGCCTCTTCTTCTCAGGTATAATAATTCTGGGCAGAGCCGAAATCACAGGCTTTGGGAGCACTGGGTCATAGTTCATAAGGAAAATCAAAGAGCACATACAGATTTTCATAATGTAATTTAGGAAGCAGGAAGGCTTAAATGCTCTGCAATATTCAGTGAATGGATAAGTTAACCCGTGGTCCTTGGTTAGCAATGAACAACTGTCTTGCTCACTGAAATCACAATGGTTGTTGTTTAGTGCTTTAAGAGCAAACATGTGCTCCTAAGACAGTGGAAGGTATAGGGTGTAGTGACAGAAGCAAAGGTTTTGGCATTTCACAGAACTGAGTTTACTCTTAGGCTTGCTACTTGACAGTTGGGTAACTTTCTCTTTTTTTTTGCCTTTTTTTTTTATTATGTTCAATTAGCCAACATATAGTTGGGTAACTTTCAACTAGTGATCTCTCTAAGCCTCCATGGCCTCAAGGAAAATGGGTATGATAAGCGCTTTTAAAGACTAAATGAGATAGTATATTTAAAGCACTTAGCACCATGCCTGGTACATAGTAGGTGTAATAAATATTATTTTTCTGCCTCCTTTCCCCTACCTCCTTTTTTTCCCCAGTCACAGTCATCAGAAGGATTAAACAATTAACAATCCCCATTTTGAATCACAGAGAAAAACCTTAGATCTTATCAACCCAAAGTCTTTGGAAGACAAATCCTTAACCTCCCCCTCCAATTTCTCCTTCCTTTTCTTTTTTTCACTATTCCCAGACTCTTCTCCAAAGAGGTGTAGTTGTCAGGGGTCTGTAAACAATATGGGTGCCTGGAGTTTGGAGAAGCCAAGTGGCAGTAGGTGCTAGCCTACTGAAACCCAGTGGGTATCCTTGTATTCCCACACACATTTCTCTTGTGTATAGAGATAGCCTTCGATGGTAGGCTGTCCTGGAAGTTTGCATGTCTGGGGAGCTTCCTTCATCCTTTTCTTAAGTTCTTCCATCTCTTCCCGGGTACTGGAGAAATGATTTCTTGTCTGTGAAGATATTATCATTGTCATTATTATCATTATCACCATCATTATTAAAAAGCACTTATTGGTCACAGATCCAGTGCAGAATTTTCTTGGTTTGCATATTATGTTACAACATAGCAAAAAAAAAATGTAGAATAACATAGTGACTAGAAAACAATTTTATGGAGTCTAACAGTGCTAAAGACTAAAAGGGAAACAGAAACAAATAGCAATATAAACATAAAAACACATCTGGGAGAATTTTTATTCTAGGGAATCACATAAGCCAATAAATAAGAGTTCTTAGAATTCTGAGCACTAGACTGAACTCTGCTTTACAGGATGGGAAACTGTAAAGAAGGTTTCCAAAGATAATATTATCATGGCAACTTCTAAGCTCTGCCTCAAGTAAAGTTACTGCCTACTTGACTCTGAATCAAATTCAGGCTATTAGGATAAAATACATGACAAGGTGCTATCTTTGAAGACAGGTCAATAGAAAAGTTATGTTTTCATTTTCATGAATAACAAAAGCTAATGGTGAGAAGAAATCTATTTAAAACTACACAACTAAAACACAACAGCAAAACACTGTTTGAAATGTGAGTATGAAAATCACTAGAGATAGGTCCTTAGTGTCCAGCCTCAAGACTGTTACATCAGTCAAAAAGGTGATCTGAACTACCTTATCTTGTTGGGCCCACTCTATTGATTATCCTGTGAATGAGTTCATCATATACACAGATACAAAGCATTGTTATTAAATTCATACTTTTCAAGTTCTATTTGGAGGAAGATTCAAATGATTAACCTGGTAATAGGAATATTTTATAAATCCATAGAAGTCAGGGGCTCTCACATTCTGGTGAAGGTGAGTACCCAGAAAGAGAGAAACAAAACAACTCTAAGTCAGGATCCTCCTAAACAACCAGGTGAGGTTTACTTCCACTAGCAACCTTATTACCAGCCTTTTTCATATAAAAATACAGATTTTATGCAATGCAACAACTAGTCCACAGTCACTATCTCAGTGATACCTTCTCTAACTGTGCCAAGCAGTCAAATGTTCCACTTTCTGTGCTTCCTTCAAATTTTTGGTCTTAACACTATCGAAACGCTTATCACAAGGAATTATGATGTGTTCCAGTGTTTATGTCTCTTTCCTGTTCCCTGAGGAAAGAAAAACTAACATACTTCATTATGGTATGTCCATGTCTGGCACAGAGTATATATTATATCCATAACCATTCATTAAATGTGGGTTAAATAAACAAATGAGAAAAAATATATATGTTACAAAGATGGGAAGGTGGTGCCTATGGCCATCTACAAAAACCAGCATGGGCAAGAAGATGAATAAAACCTTTATATATAATTTATTTAACTCTAGTAATTAATGAGAAAAGGAAGAGAGGGGAAAATGGGCATTCATGGTCATAAAACTCACAAGTGCCTTGACTGACCAACATAGAAGTAGCATAAGATCTGTGCTTAAACAAGCCCATAGCTGGGTTCTGATCTGAGAGGGATGCAGTAAATTAGCAACATTTAATATTTATTGGATAAACAGAGGTGTCAGTGGGTGGAAGGGTAGGTTTGAACAACAATAAGCCTCAAAAACTGGTAAGAGTTGAAACCGGAAGAGCAAGCACACTAAAATATTTATGATCCACACAAGAATGTCCTGACAAATTGGCTAGAATGCAATAAGCTGGGATTTCAAGGTCAAGGTCATTGGGACTGAAATACAATTGGAATGCAGGGACAGGTGAAGAAACCCACATGCAAACTCACATTCTGCAAACTGAGCTGGAGCTGCTGTTTGTATGGGAGAAAATCCTGTGTGAGCTCCACAGTCAAGCTGTTGGAAATGAAGAGACTATGAAGAAAGGCCAACACCTAGGGAAAATGTGTAAAAATAACTTTATCACCAGTACCTTCTCATTACCAAATAAAGGAAAAAGAAACATGGAAAAGAAATTCCACATACCGAGCACAGTGTTAAAAGTAATCGTGAAAACACAAACAGGTCTACACATAGCTATTCTTTTATTAAACATTTACATGGAACTTAGTTCCAGACTATAAGAACTACTAAAAATGTATTCATTGAGATCCTTTCCAGATAGCATACAAAACCATTCATAGTTTGGACCATATGGGAATAGACTGTATTTTCTCTCTATATCCTCAGAATTGGCACAGAGTAGGTACTCAGTATTTGTTGAATAAATAGATAAGTGAATAAATGAGTAAAGTAAGATTCTGTACCTTAATGAAGACTGCCCTAATGCTAAAAGATTCAAAGAGTGTGAGCCCATTTTCAAATTAGAAATGTTTCAGAGTGGTTCCAGAATAAGACATACAAATGATCAATAAAATTTTTTTAATGTTCCAAATATTCAACCTCATTAATAATTAAATACACAGAAATAAAAACAATGAAAATATGATTTAATCTATGAAATACAAACCTTTAAACAATAATGCTCAATTCTGGCAATAGTGAAGTGTAATAATAGGAAGTAGTAATAACTGCTCTATTCTTTTTAGAAAATAAGCAGGTAGGTATATGTAAATATGCACACAGATATACCATATGCATATACACATGCATATATTATAAATATAAACACAAACTATATATATGTATATATATATAAACATGTAACAACTATGTACATACACACAAGTATATATATGTGTCTGTGTGTATATATATATACACACACACAGGTGGGTGTGTGTACCACATATATTATCATATACAAAATCTTTCTGTTTCTCCTCCAAGCTTTCTCATCTCAGGAAATGACACTACCACCCACTCAATCAAGCCAGAAAGTAAAGAATCATCCTTGATTTCTCTTCCACTCACATATCAATCCAAATCCTATCAGTTTTTCCACCAAAATATATTTCTAATCCAGACATTCTTTTCTGTTTCCACTTTCACCACCCTAACCCAAACCAACATCTTTTCTTGCCTAGACTGCTGTAGTAGCCTCCTATTTGGTTTCCTTACTTCCACTTCTGTTCTTTTCCAAGCCATTGTCCACACAACAAAATCAGCTCATGTCATATCTAGCTTAACACTTATCAGTAGTTTCCCACTACACTTAGACTAATATCCAAACTCTTTACTGTGATTACAAGTCCTATGCCTTCCTATCATACACTTTTCTATCGCCTGTATCTAAAGGCACTAATCTTTTCATCCCTCAGGCATACATTCTTTCCTAACTTAAGGACCATGCACATGTGTTTTTCTGTGTTTTAATATTATTTCCCCATTATTCATGTGGCCTCATCCTCTCTTTCTTCAGAACTTAAGTGATACTTTCAGAGTTCCTCTTTGACCACTTCATCTAAAGTAGTTGCCCATTCTTGTTATTTGTTTTAGCCCTTATCATAACTTACAATTAGTTTTATTTATGTGTATCCTTCTTTCCCTTCTGTCTACCCAGTAAGAGTGTAGTCTTCATAAAGACAGAAACAGAGTCTGTCTTATTCACTGTAGAATACCCAGTGTTTAGCACAGTGCCTGACATATAACAGAAGCTCAATTATTTTTTGTATAAATGAATAAACACTTGGCTGCACACACATATATATACAGATATATAAAAATGTGAGGACAGATACACATGTACAAAGGTATACATGCTCATGTGCAAAACATATACATGTGTACACAGACCTGCACACAGGTGTACATACACCCACATCTACAAGTACAAAGACACATATAAATAGAGAAAGAAATATAATAGATACACAGAAAATCTGGAAGGAAAATGCCAAAATATTAACAGTGATTATCTCTGTATGGGGAATTTGTTATTTTTGTTTTTCTTATAATTGTTTTCTAGCTTTTCTGCACCAAGAGTTAAAATTCAACATAGTTGTCAAATCAAAGCATACCTCTTTTATAGTCAAGGAGATGTAAGTAGAAAAAAATAAAGAAGATAGAAGTAAAAATAGTACAATAGGAAGTCATTGAGTACAAGGGACATGAGCTCCTAGAACACTGACTGGCATATGATAGGCACTTTAGAAGATTTATGAAAGCATGAGAGCAAGGAAGGGAAGAGAACAAGGTAAAAGGAAGGGTGACAGAGAAATCAAAGGAGGGAGAAAAGGAGAAAGGAAGCAAAAAAAGAGAAGGAAAGAAAAATCATAGCTGGGGGAAAGAAAATGGGAGAGGAAAAAAGGTGGGGGAGGGGAGGTAAGGAAGAGAGATAAAATATTATTAGTAAGAGAGCAAGAGTAACCCAAGCTAGTGTGTTTATTTTCTTGATATTCATTATTAGGCATTAAATATCCTTCACCATCTTTGAAATTTCAATTTTATGGTCAAAGTAATCTACATTAACCTGGCATTTGGTAAATATTTTTAGACTATTCATCAACAGATAGAACTTACTGGCTCCACAATGTTGAACTTCTTGGACTCCTGAACTTCCTGGATTTGATAAACATAATCAAGGGAGGACTCAAAGAAATTGTGCCTCTCCTTGTCCACCTGGAGGTCTGCCTGTAGAAGAAGAGTGGCAAATGTCACATAACAGCATAATCATTTATGCAAGTCACTGCTTAGGGACTCAACAGAATGCTAGAGCTAGGGGAGAATTTAGCCATCAAGTAATGATCTTAATTCTTTTATTTTACACACATAGAATTATAAATCAAGAAATAAAAAGTGATCAATGTGAAACTTCTGGTTTCTGGTCCAACGATTAAAAAGCTTGAAAGTTATCTCACCCATCCTCACAAGATAAATGATAAACAAGTTGAAAATGAACAACTCCCCTTGGAAACAACAGAAAACTGAAGTCAGAGGGAAAACAGTTGTCTCAAATATTGGATAGAGAGTTGAAAATGGAGAATCGGAGCTTACCAGAGCAGAAGCCCAGAAGCAGAAACCTGTTACTGCAGACAATATCAGACTATCAGTTATTTAAGAATAATTCTCAGGGCCCTTGGGTGGCTCACTCAGTTAAGCATCTGACCCTTGCTTTCAGCTCAGGGCTGTGATATCGAGCCCCACATCAGGATCCAAGCTCAGCGGAGAGTCTGCTTGAGAGTCTCTCTCTTCCTCAGCCCCTGCCACACCCCACACTCATCTCTCTCTCTCTCTCTCTCTCTCTCTCTCTCTCTCTCTCTCAAATATTTTTTTAAAAAGAATACCTCTCTAAGGAAATCCAAAGACAACGGGGAAAACAGAAAGAAAAATACCAGAGGAAATTCTGGCTTCTGAGAACAATAGCTAGAATAAACCAAGCATAGTCTAACAGCAAACTAAGCACAGCTTAACTCCTAGTTACATAAACATAAAGCCTCATGCAAAAAGTCTATTTATCTTAGTTCCTTTTACCTGGAACATCATGCCTGGCTTACAACAAAATAGTACAAGGCATTCAAAAGGGCAACAACAACAACAAAAACCAGTTTGAATATAAACAACAAACATCAAAACCAAACTTAGATAAGGCAGAGATAGTGGATGGTGGAATTATTACACCAGAAATTACAGTAAGGGCTTTAATTGAAAAAGAGAATACACAAAAACACATGAGTAATATATGTGGATATGTGAAAACTTGAAGAAATAATCAAAAGGAAATGCTAGAAATCAAAAACAATAGCAGAAATGAAGAATTGAATGGGCTTATCAACAGACTGAACAAAGCTGTAAAAAGAATCACTGAACTTGAAGATATGTTAATATAAACTTCAAAAACTGAAATGCAAAGAGAAAAAAGAATAAAAAAGATAGAGTCAAATATTTAAGAAGTGTTGGGCAATTATAAAAGGTGTAAGTTATGCATACTAGGAATGCCAAATGGAGAAGAAAAGGAGAAACATAAGAAATACTTAAAGTGATGACTAAAAATTTTCCAAAATTAGGTACCAAACAAAAGATAGAGAAAGCTCAGAGAACAACAGCAGTATAAATACAAAAAAATCTATATGTAGGCATATCATATTCAAACAGCACAAAGTTAAAGACACAGAAAAAATCTTGAAAGAAAATCTTCAAGAGGAAACACCTTACCTAAAGCGGGGCAAGAATAAAATTTCTCTTAGGAGACCATGCAAAAAGAAGAGAGTAGAGTGAGATATTTAAGATACTGAAAGAAAAATCACAAATTTAGAATTCTGTATCCAGTGATGTTATTTTTCAAAACTGAAGAAAAATTAAAGATTTTCTCAAACAAAAAAAAAATTGAAGGAATGTGTTGCCAGTAGAATTATGACCCAAGAAATGTTATAAGAGGGGTGCCTGGGTGGCTCAGTCGTTAAGTGTCTGCCTTCAGCTCAGGTCATGATCCCAGAATCCTGGGATCGAGCCCCGCATCTGTAGGAAAAAAAAGAAAACCTGTAAAAAAAAATCTGTAAAAAAAAAAATGTTACAAGAATTTCTTCAAACAGAGGGAAAACTATGTAAGTGAGAAATGCATACCAACATAAAGAAAAGAAGAGCACTAGAGAAGGAATAAAGGAAGGTAAAATAAAATCACATTTTTTCTTTTTTTTTTTAAGATTTTGTTTATTTATTTGACAGACAGACACAGTGAGAGAGGGATCACAAGCAGGGGAGTGGGAGAGGGAGAAGCAGGCTTTCCGCTGAGCAGGGAGCCCAATGCGGGGCTCGATCCCAGGACCCTGGGATCATGACCTAAGCAAAAGGCAGATGCTTAATGACTGAGCCACCCAGGCGCCAACATTTTTTCTTATTTTTAACTAATCTTACAGATTAGAGTTTGTCCAAAATAGTAATTGTAACAATGTATTTGGTAATTATACGTTATTAAAAAGTAAAATGAATGACATAAATATTATATGGGACTGAAGGGAGAAATTGAAAGTATTGTTATAAGGTTCCTGTGCCACAGCAGTATGTTATTTGAAAGTACACATGGATTAATTGTAAATGCATATGGCAAAAAAGATTAACCACTAAAAGTTTTTTAAAAAGTATAATTCATATGCTAGGAGAGGACAAAAAATGGAATCATATAAAACTTTAAGTTAAAAAAAGAGAAGGCAGGAAAAAACTTAAGAGGACAAAAAAATAAACAAAGGGTAGCAAACAACAAACACGGTAGATATCTGTTCAACTATATTAATCACTTTAAAGGTTAATGGCCTAAACACACCAATTAAAACTCAGAGACTGTCAAAGTGCATAAAAAATAAGAGCCAAATATATGTTATGCATAAGACATCACTTGAAATATAAATGACAGAGAGAGACTAAAAGCAAAGGTATGGAAAGATATTCCATGCTGACAGATATCAAAAGAAAGCTGGAGTAGCTATATTAATTTCAGAAAAAGGAGACTTCAGAGCAACAAAACCTGTCAGGGGAAAAGAGGGGCATAACATAATGATAAATGGGTCAATTCTCTAAGAAGATATAACAACCCTTATTATGTATAATAGAAAATCAAAACATGTGAGGCCAAAAACTGGTAAAAATAAATGAATCCACAATTAGAGTTGGAAATTTCAACATTCCTCTCTCAGTAATTGAGGCAGAAAATCAGTAAACACATAACTGAATTGAACAGCACCATCAACCAACAGGATCTAATTAACATCTGCAGAACACTTTATCTAACAACAGCAGAACACACCTTATTTCAAGTTCACATAGAACAAGCACCATGATCAACCACATTCTGGGACATACAATACACCTGAATAAATTCAGAAGAATAGTAATCATACAAAGTATGCTCTCAGACCACAATTAAATTAAACTAGAAGTCAATAACAAGCAATGACTGGAACCTGCCAAAATACTTAAGAGATTAAACAGCACATTTCTAACTGATACATAGGTCAAAGAAGAATTCGTAAGAGAAAACAAAAAATATTTTGAACTAAATGACAAAGAAACTGCAACTTAGTATTTGTGGATGCAGTGAAGGCAATGCTTACAGAAATGTTTATAGCATGAAAGGCATATATTAGAAGAAATCTAAAATCAGTAATTTAAGATTCTGCCTTAGTAAACCAGAAAAAGAAGAGCAAATTACAACCAGAATAAACAGAAGAAAATAAATAATAACAATATTTAAGGAAACCAATAAAATTAACAGGAAATCATAGAAAAAATCAACAAACTCAAAAGCTGGTCAATTCAAAACATCAAGAAAATTGATAAGCCTATAGCCAGCTTAAGGAAGAAAGAGAAGACCTAAATTTAAAATGTCAGAAATGAAAGAGGGGTCATCACTACTGATCTCATGGATATTAAAAGGATAATGAGGGAGTATTTATAACAACTCTATGGCCTAAAATTTGATAACCTAAAAGAAATAAACCAATTCCTTGAAAGACACAATCTCACAAAACTCACAAACCGTGAAATCACACAAACTGAAGGATTGATATTTATTAAAGGAATTAAATAAATAATTAAAAGCCTTCCAAAAAAGAAAGCACTAGGCCATGGTGGGTTCACTGGTGAATTTTACTAGATATTTTAAAGAAGAAATGATCCCAAAGTTCTACACTCTCTCCCAGAAAATAGAATCAGAGGGAATATTTCCTAACTAATTCTCTGAGGCCAGCATTACCCTGACACTAAAACCAGACAAAAACATTACAATAAAGGAAATGTACAAATCAGTATATCTCATAAACATAGATGAAAAAATTCTAAACAAAATATTAGCAAATCAAATCCAACAAGGTCTAAAAAATTATATATAAATTATATTTAAAAAATATACAAGACCACATGGGATTTATTCCACATATGCTAGGCTGGTGAAACATTCAAAAATCAATTGATGTAGATCATCACATCAACAACCCAAAGACTAAAAATCATATGATCATACCAACAGATATAGAAAAAATATTTGACAAAATCCAACATCCATCCATTTATGAGAAAAACATTCAAAAACCTAAAATTATATGGGAACTTCCTTAATTTGATAAAGAACATCTGCAAAAAACCTACAGCTAACATCATATTTGATGGTGAGAAACTAGATGCTTTCCCTCTAAGATCAGTAACAACTCCTATTCAAATCATACTGGAATTCCAAGCTAGTGCAATAAGAAAAGGAGATAAAAGATATATACATTGGGAAGGAAGTAGTAAAACTATCTTTGTTCACACAAGACACAATTGTGTGTGTAGAAAAGTCCCAAAAGAATCAACAAAAATCTGTTGGAACTAATCAGTAACTACATAGTACAACTGCAGGATACAAAGTTGATGTACAAAAGTCAATTCCTACATATTAACAGTGGACAATTGGAATCTGAAGTGAAAAACACAAAACAACTTGCATTAGAAGAAAATTTGAAATACTTTGGCATATAAAATATGCATAAGGTCTATATAAAGAAAAATATAAAACTAATAAAGGAAATCAAAGATCTACATTAATCAAGAGATATTACATGTATAGGCATAGAAAGAAAATATTATGAAGATGTCATTTCTTCACAACTTGATCTATACATTCAGTGCAATCCAATTCAAAATCAGTGCAAGCTATTTTCTGT